CCTCCCCAGCCCGAGGTCTGGAGGCGTTCCCCTCAAGTCCATCTGGCATCACAGTGGGGAAGTCCCGATCCCTGCACAAGAAAATGGAGGTGAAGAATTGGTTAAAGAGTTCTGCTTTCTCCTCTGGCGCAACCACCAGATTGCCCAGCGTACTTTGCAGGGGCCCCACATTACCCGGTGCCTTCTTCATCCTCTCTATATATTTGAAAAAGGACTTTTTATTATCCTTGATCTTGGACGCTAGTCCTAGCTCTATGTCTACCTTAGTTTTCCTGACAGCCCCCCTATAGGCCTGAGCAGAGAGGTTATACTCCTCTTTGGAGATAGCACCCCCCTTCCACTGGGTGTACGCCGCCTTTTGGTAAGCAGGCATTCCTGGACGCCCTTGGTAAGCTTGTTGCAGTTGTGGCTATGCAAGTGGCATGGAGGCCATAGGGGCACCCGAGAAGAGCTCTACACAGAGCCCTGTAGGAGTAAGGGACTGTAAAGGGACTAAGTGGTACCAGAACTGCCTGGTCTGGATCTGGGACCCAGGAGGTCAAGAGGTGCATAAATGGCCTTGTCTGGGTCAGAGGCCTCAGAGGGTTAAGAGGTAAAGGACCAGCTTTGCCCAGGTCTGGGACCCTGGGGGGCCAAGAACCCAACATACAGAGAGGGTTGAGGTCAACAAGGCCAGGCTGAAATAAGTGGGCCATGGCTGGAGGGTGGCAGCCAGAATAACAGTGGGCTAAAGCCAAGAGGTCAGAGCCCCCTACAGGAAAGGTTTAGGGTGTTGTCTGAATAACACCTGCCAGGTATGGGTGTGGCTACAGGGGAGGATAGAGGCCTCATTAGTTGCATCAAAACATGACAGATGAAGTAAAGGGAGGGTAGCCCAAGATGAAGTGAAGCAGGAAGTACTTGACCACCAGAGGGCATCACAGCCACCCCGGGGCCTCCATCCTGCTACACAGGGGTTAAGCATGCATGTCCTAGATGCTGAGGATTTATATTTGATAAAGCTATAAAGTAGCCAGATAGTTACTCATGGATTTACATTTAGAGTGAGGTGGAACATATTTCACAAACCCAAGTGTTTTGTGGAACACAGCCTTTGATTTACTTGATGCGTTCTCAGCAAACCCAGGCAGGGGGCTATTAGGAATCTGCCTGTTTTCCTGCTAGCAGCAGGGCAGCCTCCTAGGTACACCTGGACTGTAACAAGAGAAGGCAGCTGGCTCAGATCTGTGGAGCTGCAAGCCCTTACATAGTCTACATGGCCATGATGCTTCAAAGCCCTGGACCCTGGGAGGTGCTGTACAAATCTGAGGCAATTGTTGTGATCTGACTGCCACATACCTATGAACAGCAGCAGCAAAACCGTCAACTTCAAAAGAGACAAGAATCTCAACCTTGCTTGAGCTGCTGAGGTTCTAGAAAACACATTTTATTTCAGAAACACTGTGTAAGCACTTCTAAGATGGAAGACTTTTCAGAACTTCTGTTTTGCAACAGAACTTGTGTTTTTGAAAAATTTTATTTTATTCTATAATCATATTGAAGCCAGCACTTCTCACAAATGGAAAATTTCAAGCTTTGTTCTGCTTTAGGTAGGATTATCAGAACTTCAGAGTCAAGCTGTCACACCTTAAGTTTTAATTTTACACTTGCTTTTCTGCTTCCTTCTTCCCACCCCAATCCATGCTTCAAATGGATTGGCAAAGGTCCAAAGTCCCTGCCTACAAATAGGTTTAACCTTCAAATGCCTTTGTGCAAGTCCTTAACAAAGACATACTAGTACAGTATTACCCCTTATGGCTTTCCACTGGTATAGAAATGTTAATATGTTATATCACAAATTAAACCCTTAATGATGATAGGCCTTAAAAAGGTCTTGGTTAAGACTATGATCTTAATTAGGGTAATTAATAAACCTCTCACGGGTGCCATGCAATGTTACCACTCTTGAGATGCAAACATGATTTACAGAGTAAAGCCAGAGATTTTAAATTGGAATTCATACCACTAAAAACAGATCAGAACCTGCTGTACTCTTTCTGAGCTCTTTGCAATAGAAGAATTGCTCTATTATTTTTCTGCAGTCAAAGAATGAGTGAAAATTAAGAGTTGGCATTTTGAGATGTACCTGGAGTCTGTCAAGGGGCATCTTGAGTCTAAAAAGGTTGAGAACCACTGTAGTAAACATACCTTTGCACATGCAGTGCGTTCTTTTCTCAACTACCACTGAAATTGCTAATCCTGTTTGCTTCCAGGACAGGAGAAAAATAAATCTCGATACACCACATTTACTCCCAGGCACATGTATTCTAGTATCACTAATGAAGGGTGCTCAAAAGTTAGAGTACTTGCTCATAAAAAAGAACATATGCTAGGAAATAGAAAAACAATTTAAGAGAAAAGTGATACAAAAAAAATCAAAACAGACTAAGTAGAAATTCTCTTGCATAATTCTAAGATTTACACTGGATAGGAAAAGTAAGTAAATAAGCAGCATATTTCCACACATTTTTTACCCTCTATTGCCAAGCTGATATAATTCAAATAGCTAGCAGTTTAATATAGCAAAATGCAAAGTTATACATCTAGATACAAAGAATGCAAGCCATGCTAAATGAGAGGACTGAATGCTGGAAGTCAGGGACTGAACAGATCTTGGGTACCACTTTGGACAAAATCCTCAAAGAAATCTATTCTTATTGCAGTACTGTCATAAATTAACACACTATTTCATATACAAAGTTACTTGGGATTCAGAATGTTGCTTAGTCCTTATGAAGTGCTGATAGAGTATCATCAAATTATGCTTCAAGAACTTAAGTTATAAACACATTTGATTTCCTATAAATGATATACTATTATCCAGCCATTTCTCAATTCCCAAAACAACAGCATTATGGCTAAGGACAGAAGTTACACATAAACCGGTTTAAGTGATCAGAACCTGGTTTAAACCTGTAGCAGAACAGAAGTTCAGTGTACATAAATCACTTTCAAAATGGCCAAAAGTGGTTTAAGATAAATCGGTTGGATGTAGTATCAGACTTAGATGATTTAGGTCAAAACAATTTATGGAACTTCTTTCCCAGATGCCCTCCTGATTCAAGTTAATGCACGGTCCCCCAGCACCCCAGGGTGCTTTGTAGCATGGCTTGGAGAATCCCCTGGCTCCTGGCAGCAACCAGCTGGCTCAGTGGTATGCCTTAGTGCCTGCCCCCAGCTACTGGTTTAGGCCACTGCAGAGGTCTGGTCCACTTGTTTATCGGTTCAATCCACACAGTTTAGATAAACCATATCTTAGTTTACCCACATTTTTTTGTTGACATTTTATGCTTTCCTAACCAACAATAAAAAAAAATTGTCAACATGCATTAAAGTAAGTTTGAATATAGAAACATCTATACAGGTGCAATTTGTTACAACAATAAATAGATTAATCTTTGGCATCTAATATGGTTATAATAGCTCTACTTTTTAAAGTATTTACAATATTTTCATAGCAACTCTTTAGTTGCATACTCCATAGGCGATCAAGTAACTTAGTAATAGTAGTCTCAATTCCCAAACTGTTTTGACAATTAATTAACATCTGATAATGCTGCTCTTTTACATCCTTGGGGAATTCATGAATTATATTATCAATTTCAGTGTCCTTTAGACAGCATCTGATGAGCTCTTTCCAGTTACGTGCCGGCACTTGCTTTATAAAACAATAATAAATATCACTCCTTTCTGAAAGAAAAAGATACATTGGGTTATATTTTATAATAAAGATAATTCTATAAACTAGTTAAAAAAATGAACTAAGTTCAGATGAATCCAGTCCAATTACTATTTAAAAATACTTATTAAAGAAATCAAATGATTAATTAATCCTTTTTTATGGGGAGGCTCCATTTGGTTATTTAGCATTCACTGGTATTCCAATTCAAAAGAGTAAATCAACTAAGAGTAAACCTAATTAATCCAAACGTACTACTAAGCTATTGTCACGGACATTCATTTTTACTACTGCAAATTTCTGGGAAATTTCAACAGTAGAGTGTTTGCAACAGGGAGCGTTTGAATCTTCTAACCCGTAAATCACCTTCCTTTCCTCTGCTCCCCATGCCTTTCCCAGACCCATGTCTCCCCAGTCTGGGAAAAGCTGAGAGCAGCAGCAGCTGGATTCCTCCCAAGGAATGATAAGGAAGAAGCTTGTTTTACTTTGCATTGCAGCCCTTCTGTAGAAGATTAAATGCACCACTTCACTGAGAAACTTTAGAAAACATCTCAGCCGATATTTTCTTATACTTGTTTGAGTATAACTCAGATTTTTAGAGTAGTTTTCTTGTTTGAGCAGAACTAATTTGCTCAGAGTGGAATCTTCTTATTCTTTTGATATGACAATTCAGCATTGAACAGAGTAGAGCGCATGATTTTAAAAACAAGCTGTGTCCATATATTTCCAGACTTTTTACAACCCTGACCTGGACTGCTTAGGTTAACAAGCAGTTAAGAATGTTATAGGAAAAAAATGCATCAAAAAAAGGTGCAGATTAACTTGAAACGTCTTTTAACTGAACTCTCAAGGAACTGGCACAAATTGATTTCCTAGTCAAAAATCATTTAAGAAGGCCATAAGTAACTATAAGTATAATTTAAATTGGTCTCTTAAGAGGGAACATTGATTACTTTGTGAGTTCTTCACTGAAGTTTTAAGTTCTTACTTGCTTTCAATACACCTATGACCACTCTTATCAATGAATTGTACCTACCAATCTATTATGTTATCAACATAAAGCAAGGCAGATGTTCCTAACATCAAAAATGGAATGTAGTTTAATTATATTATAAAAATTATATGGAAAAAGATGTTGCTACAGATAAAGGCCTTTATGTCCCTACATACAGATTCAACTGCTGGTACGCAACTAGACTTTTTACTTCAATACTAGCAAACTGGCCACCAAGAATGACCGGGGGTGGGGGGAAAGGTCAGGCAGGGACAGAGTCCTGCATCTGGCCCCCTCCCTTCTCCCCCCTGCCTCAGGCCAGGGCCAGGGCCACAGCTGCTCCACGCCTCTCCACCATCACTTGGGGCCGGGGCTAGGTCTGTTTCCCGCCCCTGCCGCTTTGGGCCAGGGCTAGAGCTGTCCCCCACCTCTGCTTTGGGCCAGGGCTTGGGCCAGAGCTGCTGCCCCCCCCCCCCCACACACACTTTGGACCAGGGCTGGGACCGCTCTCCCACCTCCCCCCTGCCACTTCGGGCCAAAACTGGCACCACTCCCCACCCCACTCCGCTGCTTTGGGCCAGGGTCAGAGCCACAGTGGGGGTTGCGGCAGAGCGCAGCCACCAGTCACCCTCCCTCCCCTGTTAAGATTCTAAGGAATACAATTTTTTAATGCACCATTGTTCTGGGGTGTAATCACAATACACAGGAGAAAACTATTCTAAAAACTTTAAACAAATTCACATCTATTAATTCTTTACTTAATTGTTCCTTTATGTATATGAAATTAAAAAAAAAAAGATTTTGCTCAGTACTCTGTTACTACCAATTCTAAATCCATAACAAGCTGAGTTACCTTCAACAACCTACCTGTTGTTGAAATATGAAATAGATCTTTAACTTTTATCTGAGGTCTGGCTTTCCATTCCTGAACCTGCAAGATAAGCATCTGTATTTACCCCAACAGATCAAAATATAAGTTTGCTCATATACAGCAGACATACTTGAACCCCTCGATAATTCGTTGTAACAATATCTAAAATAGTAGGTTTGAGAGTCCATACTTTTCACAATAGAGATTAAGTTAAAAAAACCTGAATAAACTTAAAACTGTTCATCTAGAATTAGCTCTGCTGCAAGCTAGGGAGTGCAGCATTTTGTCATAGCATTAACATGAAAACTAGCTTTCCTGTACATACTGAGCAGTGACAAATTAAACAATGTTTTCCAGAAGAAGTGATGAACATTTCTAATACCGCCTGAACACACTCATTTTCCTTGCTTCCTTTTAAATCTAGGATACTGGCAGGAGGGAAGCCTCCTCATCCTTCTGCATGATGGTGGGTATCTACAACAGTTTTACCTTTCATGATGTTATAAAAGTTGCACAGATTTTGTAATCTGCTGAGAATTTCCCACTTACCTTCTGCATATTAGACTCTTGAAGATAAAAAGCATTATGGTTATATAGAAGCTTCACTGGTGCTTCAGTCCCCTGAGGAGCTTCTTCAGATGTGTGGTTAGTATCATTAAGAAGTAGTTTATGGCTCTCACAACTTGCAACACCATTATCCTCAGGCAATTTGGTTTTTAGTCCAGAAATGGGACTGTTGGCTGCTTGATCTTGTGGACTCTGAACAGAAGTTTCAGTCCCCAAATGTGGTGCACTAGTTAGACCATTTTCCACATCTGGTAAAATGAGAACTTCAGTGCTGCCTTCAGACTCCTGTAAGGAATGAAACAATTTTTAAGTACAGAGTGTATGTAGTATTATAGGCAAACTTTCAAAAGTAGGGGTACACTGTTAGAGATTTTTGGGGCTGATACCAGTAGCCAATTTTTAAGGAGGCATATCGGGCAGTACCAATCCAATTTCCAATACACAGCCTAGCAGCACGGAGAGCTGTGTGCAGCTGGTAAATCTGTTCTGGTGGAAGGGGTGTGGGAAGGGGGCAGATCAAGGCCTCCACAGTGAGGGAGGGAGTGGGGCTGGGGCAGGAGCTGCTCAGCCAGGGCAGGGCGGGGTGAGGCATGGGACAGAGATGCAGCTCATTCGGGGGTGGGGGAGGCATGCGGGGGGGGGA